CGAATCCATCATTCATGGCTAGACAACTTCCCGAACACCAATTGAGACTTACGAGGTCATTCGAGATGTCTCGGCCTTCTGATTGGGAACTGAGAATGTGTTTTTCAGATCCTGCCAGAATATTCAAAGAAATTTCTAAAAAGAAAAAAGACAAAAATTAACTCTACAAATGCTTTCATCTATACCTAAATAAAATCCCGGAAATTATTTCAGTGAATATAGTACAAATAGTTCAATATATTACATATAATTAACTGTTATAGACTAGGGAGTGTTGATTTTTTTCCTTGTACAGGGAAATCCAGAAAAGATTGTGAACCTTTGGTGTAAGGGGACAAAGATAACAAAGGAAAGATAGTACTTGGTCCATGTACATAATTGTTACGGTACATGGATCGAACGGTACGAGCATGTGGCTTCTCATTTCTCTCTGGTCAATACCAAGCGAATGGTGAACTACTGATGAGAGCAGCTGGTCGAAAAATCTGCCACCGTTGGCACTCCGTCAAAAGACAAGTTGTGGTCTCTGAACTGACTCAGTAGGTGAGAGTATCCTACTCACAGCTGATGCCTCTCTCATGTAATTTCGCACAAAAAGTAAGTGAAATAATTAGAAAAAACAAGAGAGGTCAAAGCAAAGATGAAAGATTAAAGGGACATCAATGTTTGTTGAAAACTACAGCAGATTAGGCATTTGAAAAATTAATGAAACATCATTTTGTAGTTAAATATACAAAATATTAATCAATCATATTATTTAGATAGGAAATTAGAAAAATATTTTATCCATTACATGCACGTAAACCTCAATGTACTTTCTCTTAACAACAAAAGAATTTTAATTAACAACTTGTGAATTGAAACAAAAATTAATTCACTTATCAGAAAGGTTCAATTTGTTGAAGACTTAATTGAAGCACCCTCCTTAAAATAATGGAAGATACATTTATTTAGAACATATCAAATACAATATCTTATTAACTTGAAGTCTCTTGCTTTCATTTGCATAAATATTGAGGATAAAGTAAAGTGATTTTCTTCTCTTATTAAACTAGACCCCTTTGGTTACTGACAGTGCACGAGGGCCTAAAGGCCTAAAACCTTTCATGTGCATTTTTCTCTTGTATCATAATGGTATAGTCTGCAAGTAATTTATAATACTAAGGTTTATTGCACAAGTACATGGTGAAAATGAGTAATCTTAGGAGCCAGTTTTAAAGTTTAAACGATTGCAATAAACCAACATTGGTTTGCCAATGACATACCACCAAGTTGCATACACATTTTTTATATAAAAGCATAACAAATTTATTGAGTCACCAAAATGAATTTGGGAAACTAATTTCCAAACCAGTTTTAAAGTTAACAACATTTTTGGTATTATGACATTACGGCAGAGAGGGCAGGCTGTGCCATAAAATTCCACATGTGCCATAATATTCCACTTGTGCCATAAAAATGTCACTTTAACTATTTTTTGCATACAGTTTATAATGATTGATTGTCTATAATAATATGTCTATATAAGTTGATTTTCTATTGTCAATACCCAGGTAACAAAGGCAGGTCATACTATTTTGTGAATGTCACATCTTTTATATCACATTATACATGTGGGACATCTCCAAAAATTTTAATGATCATTCTGGAAGGTTGTATGAAATAAACACAATTTACAATCTAGCATTTCCAAGCAGAATAATGTTAAAAACTGTCAGATTCTCGTAAATCTGTTGGAATGTTCACTCCAGTCAGTCAGTTGCACTGATGTGTGTACAACAATGTTGCGTATAAGTAAGATGTTGGTTATGACAATGCCATCTTAAACAATACTATTTTTTATTGATACATTGTAGCTTGTTATTGCATTCGACAGTTCTATATACGCTGCATAACTTACCTGGGTCGAGAGGAAAATGTAACAAGGGAAATATAAAAACAGTTCAAATGCTGCTGTACATTCCCTTATGGAGAGAATTATGAGGGAAAACCTCTCCTCTCAAGCAACAAAAGTTGCATTATTATACATACCAGTCTTGCATCCTGGAGATGCCAGCAGCATCACAATGACAATGTTGTGTGTCGTAATATCACGTCATTAGAGGTACGTTTGTCTTTTAGATGAAAAGTGTGTTTAATGTGTACTTTGTTTGCATTGCTGAAATTGTATTGGAGGCCCCACTTGAATTGTGATGTAATGTTTTCTCTTATATGTGAAAACGATTGCCAAAATCCAAAAGTGAATAATGTATGTTGGAGACTATTTTTGCTACCTGGGTATTTGTCTTTTTAAAGTTAATATAATTGCATATGTTTATTAAAAAATAAAAGATTTTATCTATACTTGAATAAGCAAATTAAACTTTGTATTTGTTCTTACCTCACTAGGTATTTATTACAAACGCTCCAAACCAAACACGTAATAGTACAGTCTTGTCGGAAACAACAGGTGCACCAAGTATATTCTTGCAACTTTTTCTCCTCTGTGTCCCAGATCTGTTAATAAATACATTTTCTGTAATAAGTTTAACAAAGAACACTGGCTACTTATATTTAATTCTATTAGTGAGAATTTGTAAAAATACACTTATTTCCATTCAATCAAGTAATTAAAAATTAATTGACTAATGAAATATATATCAGGGAGCTTTAAATTCAAATGAATGTATCAATTTAACTTTAATTATTTTGAGCTGTTCAACATACAAATAGGTTACATGAGATTATGAAAGAAAAGGCAGTGGAAGACCTCTGATTTAAGGAAAATGGTATGTAAATAAGTTCATATACTTTTATTAAATGTCTTGTGAAACAATTGAGTATGATTAATATTTTTTTCAGAGAATAGTGATCAAAGGATATTCGATCTTTGTCTCATTCTAATTTATGAAAAAAAGATAGAATACCCGATTCCCCTATTCTTATTCTCACGGACTACAGCCTTATATTACTTACCATTTCATCGTCAAGATTTCAAATAAAAAGACTCCACTATTTTATGGGAAAAAATGGTGAACATAAGGTGAAAAGAGCAAACTCCCACTCAATTGTGGACACCTGGCAACCAATCATAAAACTCATCACATTCTTCTGCAATTTCCTGTCACAACTTCAGAGAATTAACTTGCATTTACTTATTATTTCCATATTATACTTTTTTCTTAGTTGGCTAGGTATGTTATTAGTATTTTACAAATTATTATAATATATTTGATGTTTTGAATTTAAAGAAAAGTTTTGAAGCGATCATTTTAATGCATGTTAAAATGTTTGTAAAAAAAATTTATAATTTATTGGATTTTTTTAAAAATACCCCCTCCCCCGCGCTTGTTTGCTTCTTTTAGGAAGCAGACTCGGCAACCCCAAAGAGTTTACTGATGGTTTCTACCAAACTTGAACTTGTTTGCCTGCCCGGTTTTACGTGGAATGACTCCTACAATACATATGAGGGTTAGGGCAAAAGTCATGGCAACTATTAATTTCCTAAAAGAAATATCATCGGATCGCATAACTTTGTTTGCTGCGTGAAAAAAATGCAATACTAGTTTGTGTTCACAACAGATGGTTCTTTGAGTGCTTCCATTATCATAGTGGACAACATTCAGATTTATTTTACGTGACGAGATTAGCGCCATCAGACCTGGTTTTCCACCTAACCACCCAAATTCCGCTAAGCTTTCACCACCAGCGGAGAAAGATGGCATCACACAGGGGACGAAACAGGCTATTCTAAATTTTAGCTCAGAAGCTTCTTTTAGACATTAGGATATTTTACATGCAGTAAATCTACAACATGGGAAAGGTGTCTTTACTTACCAAAATACTCTGCTACCAAAATTCTCCAAGAAAGTACTCTACATTGCACAAAGTGTATTCAATCCATTCGTAGATATGGAATTTAATTTTATTCTAAGGATATAAGATCTGTGAAATTAGTGGTGCTCCAACAGCACGTACACTGTTGCATTTTTTTAACGATTATAAAATATTTTATTTGAACTAACAGGAATGTTTCAAACCCGCAAATATGTTTGACCACAATTCGAAATCGAGTACTTAGGCTTTAGCAAGCAATTACAGCAATTACTGCTCGAACCGGCTGAGTCAATATAAGAAACTTCCCGACAATTTAAAAAAGAAATTTGAACATTTGCAATTTTCGAAAATTCATAGGTTTTATTGAAACTTGGACGTGTTGGTTTAAAAAAATAAAAATTCAATGCCGTGAAAATCCTGCTTATATATTGTTTATAGTTTGGCACAAAATATTAATTATTAAAAATTGAACTTCACTTTATTTAAACATCTAATTTTGAAGAACAGATTTCATTAAGAAAAAAAATCTTTAATATTGTAGACGTTAAGAAGACCAGAAAAATTATAAATGTTTGGACTTTTCGAAAATTTAGAGTTCAGCGATAAGACGACCTGAGCCCTTTTAACAATAGTAATTTGTTGTATCCTATACAATTAATTAACAATTTTGGAGACATTTTGAAGAAGTTTTTAAAATGTTCTTAAAGCTGCTTTTAGATGCACCCCAAAAAACAAAATATCCGTTCCAAAATAGCATGGGGTCGAGTTCTGTCAGGTCGATCAAACAAAATCATTTAGGAAAAAATTCTACAGACGGTTTGGACGCTAGTGTTGTTCACTGGTCGACACAGCCATTTTAAGCACTTTTTTGCTAATCAAGAAACTCCAAAAAGTGGACACCGTATTAGTATAGTAGAGAGCAAAGAATAATTTCAGTGTCGGCGAGATGTTTAATTCTTTAGTAAGTCATCATTTCAACAAAGCCAAGTACAAAACTCGGAAGCCCGTAAAATAATTAATATTAAATCATCTTCACGACCGCAGACCAACAACGTAATTCACTATTGAGAGCTCAGTGCTTTAATAATACATAAATAACATGAAATATCAGAGAGATGATTCATTCCAATTCGAGGCCATTTTTATATGATTTACGAAAAAAATTAAATATCTCTTACCTGAACATTTGACTTGTTTGTTCCAATCGCGAGTCTCCTTCCATCAATGTCCCATTTGACAGCTGTACCAAATTGTCCGCCGTGATGTTGGGACAGTTCTGGATTGTCAATGTGTGTCAAATGGATCGTTTTACTTGTATTAGGATCACAGAGGAACACTGACCAGTTCAAGGCTGCAGCTAAGTATCCCGTCGCTCCCCAGTCCAGTAGATTATAATCTGAAAATAAAAGTCAACAAGACAGCTGCAGAGAGACAGAGGACAGAGAGACAGAGAGACAGAGAGACGGAGACAGGAGAGACAGAGAGACAGAGAAGAGAGAGAACAGAAGAGACCAGAGAGAGCGAGAGACAGAGAGACAGAGAGACAGAGAAAACAGAGAGACAGAGAGACAGAGAGACAGAGAGACAGGAGACAGAGAGACAGAGATGGACGAGAGACAGGAGATTGACAGAGAGACAGAGAGACAGAGGAGACAGAGAGACAGAGAGACAGAGAGACAGAGAGAGAGTTAGACAGCGAGACAGAGGACAAAGAGACAGAAGAGACAGAGAGACAGAGAGCACAGAGAGACAGAGAGACAGGAGACAGGAGAGACGAGAGACCATGAGAGACAGAGAGGAAATAAAACAAAGAGGGAGGAAAGGAGGGAAGGAGAGACAGAGGGAGAGGGAAGAGAACAGAGAGAGGAGGGGAAAAGCGACAGAGAGAATGGGGAAGAGAGACAGAGAGGGAGGAAGAGAGAGAGAGAGGAGGGAGAGTAGACGAAGAGAGGAGGGAAGAGAGACAGAGAGAGGAGGGAAGAGGACAGAGAAGAGGAGGGAAGAGAGACAGACGAGAGGAGGGAAGAGAGACGAGAGAGAGGAAAGAGACAGAGAGAGGAGGGAAGAGAGACGAAAGAGGAGGGAAGAGACAGAGAGAGGAGGGAAGAGAGACACGAAGAGAGGAGGGAAGAGAGACAGAGAGAGGAGGGAAGAGAGCAGAGAAGGAGGAAGAAGAGACAGAGAGAGGAGGGAAGAAGACAGAGAGAGAGGGAAGAGAGAAAAAAATTTAATTGTGGCTTTCGATAAAATTGCATCTCATTAAGCCATAAATCAAATATCGTTCACAAATTGCTTCGTTCCCGAGTTTGGTGCCAAATCTATAGGAATGTAAATTTTGAAACAAATCTCTCCGAACAAATTTGTGCTAATATTGTTCACAGACCAACAGATGTTTCGCTATAAGCCAATATATGTGTACCAAGGACTCGCAAAACGTGGATCCTGACAACACGTATAAGAGAAAGTAATCTGCACTTCGGAGCAAGATATATACATTTTTTCGATATCAGGGACTCACTATTCGAGTTTCTGCCTAATTATCTCCACTTTTCACTGTATCATTGTAGTTATTTCTCTTTACATCAGTATGTAGTTGACAATGTGCGGCGATGGCTTTATACATAATAAAATGCTAACTAAATTTATTTCAATATTATGATATAATTATTTAAACGATAAAATTTCTCAATATGATTCGTTATAGTACAGTACATTTCTATGGAGTATTATGCAGACGAACAAATGTTCACTTGGTTTTTGTAATTATGTACCAACAATTTTACACGTACAAGTGTGTTTTTTATTTCAACTATGTACATGAGAAAGCCGTCTTACATCGGATGAAAAATATCTTACAAACGTACAAACAGCTGGTGTCCCTGAAGTGCTTTTGCTGCAGTTTTCCTGCATTCTGTTTCAGTCCCTGCACCTCCGACAGGGTCTATCGGTAAGTCTAGATAACCCTACACTTCAACAAAATACGTATGTAATTCCCTTGACCGCTATTAAGGAAAACCGTTGATCGTTCATTAAAATACTCACAGAAAAGAGCTTTGAATTCCGGAAGGTCAAGTGCACAGTCCGGTGAAGTCATCATTGGCTTCCCCCTTTGCTTCACAGGCCAAGTCGCAGCTGCGTCCGATGGGTCGTCTTTCTTTGCTGGGAACAGAACTCCTGTGTTGCTGGTTGGGAACCCCATAGCGCGGCGAAGGGCTGCGCGATACTTCTCGCGCACGTATTCTTTCACATCCTAAAATTAAAAAAAAAAATCTGTGATAATGGAATGATACTGCGATAAGGCTAATATTTGCTCCCCTGCTTCAACCCTGAAACAACGCAACTGTACTCTGACAAGTACAACATGCTAATGGAGATCTCTACGTATTCATAATTTCTACATAAAAATGAGAATTGCTTTCATTTGTTCACATTTTATATTATAGAAAATCTACCATGAGAAGTTTCCCCTCCCTTGTGTAAAGCATCGCAGAAATTCAGGTAACCCAGTAACAGATTTACATACTGTTCTATCAGTTAAATTCATATTTTATGGAAAAAAAATATTCCATGCACATGTATGCACTCACGCGCACATGCACACCCACGAACACGCAAACGCACGCGGATGTGCGCAAACACGACCACACGCACGCGTTCCCGCTCTCACACACACCCACGAACACGCGCAAACAAATGCACATGCACATGCACAAGAACAGTCGCCTTGTTCAATTTTTAACTGTGCAAACAATATTTTGGTGAAATTAACTTCGTCATCAACTATAACTTCTATGTACATCACACACCATGGTTGATCTTCTCTGCGATCGCGCATAGAAATGTTAATCGACAGAAATGTTAGTCAACAGCATTGACGTCTTACCTGCGTCAGTATGTCGCTATCTTCGAAACCGTGCAAAGGTTTGTCGTCGTAGTAAAACGCAAAATCCCAGTCGCGAGGAACGCGCTTGGAAATGAAACGGTCATCGTGCGTGCGGGGTCGTTTCTTCTGCGTGAACAGAAATTTAGCAATTTAGTGCACGCTTTTAACATCGACGGCAGGACAAAAGTTAATTTTCACACTACATCTATAAGTACACATCTACACAATTTTGGACGTAAATGATTGAATGGGGCATGCGAAGTTATATAATGTCCCGAATTGGGCCTATTAACACGAAATTGATACTTAGTGCCCCCTGTAATAACGTGGCTTTCGACCTTCGGCACTCACTGTCATCTTCATGGCGAATCCCTCTGCGCTGGGCCTCGCCGGAGGCTCCGTTTACGAAGGCGACAGACGGACCTCGTGGCGCATATCAGCTCCTCCGACCACTGCACCGACCACCGCCTCTCCCCGCCCTTCCCCGCCACCCCCCGCTCCCGCCTCGCCCCCAGGCTGCTGTGTTGCATTTAAACGCGGCGGGAACTTCAAATGAATTGCGAACCCACTCCGTACGACCTTCCAGTCACATCTTCCACAGGCCAGGGCATCGTGACTTGTGGCCTTTTTCTATCCTATTCTATTTTAGCTCTCCTTTTATTCTAGTTGGTATGTAATACTTTTACACTTTTCATTTTGATTTATTTTATTTGGACATTTCATCTTCTTTAACTTACACTACATTACATTAGGCGGGGATTAATTTCTGGAGATGTACCGGAAAGGCATTTCGATACCTAGGGAACAAAAGGCAGTGAACGAACACTCAGCTTCTTTGATGTTTAGTTCGGCCAACTTTCGTAAACAAACTTAAATATTTTGCTGTTGTATTAATTTAACAGTTTCATTTCTATGTATGCATACAATTATTATTAAAACCCTATAAAATACCATTATACACATCAATTTAATAATAATAATAATAATAATAATAATAATAATAATAATTCATTATTGCGCAAATTGCTCTCGAGCAAATCCACACACGTCCACATATGTTCTAAAAGAACACAATATATAATAAAAATAAGATATAAAAATATAATAATTAGCGAATTGAATTTAATATAAACAACAGTGATCTGAGGAAATGGCAACGGCGAGTCTCAGTGTAAGCACTGACCGACAAAAAACACTAAGACCATATAAACAACAAATACTTAAATGCAATAATTGAATGGGTGGAAATCAGAACAGTATAAGTGATATTTTATAAATTCTGAGAAAAACATGTTTATTGTAGGCTATATGTCAGTGTTAATGTGTTTTCGTAGTTTTAATGAACCACTGAAATGCCGTGACTTTAGGGATGAAATAAAGCACCACGACTTTACAGTGACATTGACTTAAATAAACAGATTTCTCAGAATTTATAAAAAGACACTTATACCTTTCAGATTTTTACCCATTCAATTGTAAGTTATGAAACAAAAATAAAGTAAAATATAGAAAAAGATCCATTGCAAGACACGGCAAAATGTACTGAACACAATTCGAAATGAAATTTAAAAAATAATGAATTGATATTAAAATATAAGAATGTAGTGAAAAGATAAAAACACAATATTCATAAGATTCTTTGGTTATTTGTACTCCAAGTAATTGTTTTGCCATTCGTAAATTTTCTATTTTCGTGATGAATGATTGATGTTTTAAAACACGGTAACTTTGTGAAATGCATTTGACTGAAAGGTTATATTACTGGTTTAGATTTTTCAAAAAAACAAATTGAAAATTGGAGTTTAATGCAAATACATTACCCTTGTCGACGATAGAATTCAATTTCAACCCTTTTAGGATCAATACAATTCCCTAAATTAATTTGAAGTATAAAATATCTATTTCAAAGACGATTAAAATAAAAAAATAAATAAAAAATTAAAATGAAAAAAGTTAAATATATACAATATTATTTTATGGGAAGTATTATTGAACTACGTTCATTTCGGACAAGCCGTCTTGCCCGAACTCCACGCTTCGCCCGCTGCCTCGTACGTTGTGGCCTTTGAAGTATGTAGGTGTTGTGGTGCGTTATCGTTGGCATTTCTAATGAAATAATTATAAACGTTGTCATTGTCAACAATAGTATTTATTACAAGAACAGCTTTCGATGGCTTTCAGTAACTGATGATGATGGCTAAGCTGCTCTTGTAATAAATACTTTGAAGTGTGGCCGACGCTCCCACCTGCCGACTCGCCCGCCCTCCCCGGCCGCTCTGTCTGTTTCTTTCTGCCGCTTTCCCACGCACGTCTTGTCCGGTCCGATTCAGCAGCCCTCCGCCCCACCCCCTGCCTCGCCCATCCAGCCCCTCCGGTCTGTCTATTCTCTCGCTCTACGCGCCCCGACCCTTCCTCCCTCCGTCAACTCAAACCGTTCTCATTATGCTCTGCCTGCTCCTTCCTCTTTCGCTCCTCCCAATCCTCGTTGCTCTGCTTTCTCCGTCCGCCACATCGCTCCTTCCGTTCCTTCTTGGAACTGCGTAATAGAGTAGAACATATAGTACTTCCACAGTAAAAGTCATAGTTTCTATTCTGTAACGCAATGCTTAGAATGCAACCATTTTCGGGCGAAAAGATGTGAAATGGCGAGAACATTCTACGCAGAAGTGGACGAGTTCCATGAGGTGCATTGTAGCAGTGAAAACTCCCTATGAAAGGGTTTTAAAACTAATAGCGGGAAATCAATATATAATCTCTTAAATTAATACCTATCTATTAAACAATTAGGTATATTATTTAGTGTCACCTAGTGTCCCAACACACTGGAGGTTGCACTTCAATTGAATGACGGAAATGTACTTTCCAAATTTCAAAATATATATAACAAAATTGTAAGCAATCCAAAGTTATTAAAATTAAGGTAAATGAAAGTCTATATTGAAACATTACTTACATAATAGTTGTCGTGTCCTTTCAGGTATATACACCTCCCACGCACCTGGCCTTTTTGATTTTCACTGGGCACTTAAGATGGACTCCAGCACATTATATTTCTAATATTTTACTACCCTGGTATATTTTGAAATAAAGATCCTTCCATACACACACATCTTATATCCCTACCAGTGCTCTCCATGCAGGCCGTCAATAAGTGAGTGAACTTGTGTACTTTCAATAACAAGCGAAATTGATAAAATTACGTTTAAGTGAGTCGGACGAAGACACAGTATGAGATTCCCCGGAAACTTCGTCGGTCGCCACGCAGCGCCAGCCGCCTAAAGGCCTATGTTTGCTACGCTATAAATCGAAGGACCAGAGGATAATGCAGTAAATCCAGCAACACAGACAAGGGCCAAAAGCACAGTGCAATGCCCTGTAAGGTACCAGGCTCCGGAGGGTGCGGCAATTGGACGCTCTATGGTTTCCAAATGATGTGTCACATCTCGAAGTGTTTCGGCCCTTTTAAAACTTTTGTTAAAAATGTATCCGGTAGGCGTCTGTGACCGTGGATGAGACAGGCCGAGAAACATCTCTTCGTCGGCTTCGCTTCGTTACCGAGGTCGTTGAACTCTCACCATGTGTGGAAGAAGCGAGCTTTCGGCCGACTGTGATGCGACACTGGATGTCGCATCTTGGACTTCTCATTAGTGCTCTCGATCTCACTCGCAAAGCTTCGCCATCGCCTGCTTTGAGAACCTCTCTTCGTTTAGTAGGTCTGGGAAGCCCAGTGCTCATGTGCTAACGACTTGGGACTCCTTAGTGGGTTGGAGGGGGGCGACATCTTGACCACACGCATGCCTACTCGTGTTTGCAGCTGTCCTGACCTAGTATATGATTTAGGAGAGGTGGGCTATCAGTACTGGCAAACAACCGTACGTGGCTAATATTTCTTTGTTGCCAGGTTTTTCACGTTTACTGTGGGTTGTTGCAAAAGGGCTGAGATTTTTCTTGAAACTACGTTATAGAGAATAACATGTCTTCCACAAAGAAAAATCCTAGTTTTGAAACTAACGCAATAATTAGAAGCCAACAATTTTCATGTAAAAATATGCGACATGGCAAGCACAAGGTTTATAGAGGATGATGAGTTACACGAGGCAGAAAACGGCGAGTGAAACTCCCAATGTCCTTTGAAAGGTTTAAAAACTATTGAATACTCAAGTACGCTAGAAGATGACATCAACTCGACCAATAATTAAACAATCAGGTGTATTATTCCTGTTTCTATATTATTTTGTTTATTCCTGGCAGAGCAAGCACCACGAAATTAGCAGGTCTCAAAGACGGTACAGTAGGTATGTATACATAATATGCAATACATAAACGTATAGTACGCTGCCGATTATATACCTTAATTGGTCTACCTTGTTTAATCCGTAAAACAAGATTATGCTCACTAAGCAGGAGAGGCCCCTGGTGTGAAATATAATTTATTTTTATTGCTGCATCGATCACAAAAAGTGAAGCAGAACCCGATACATCTGGTTCTCTGAGAAAATGCCTCAGAAATGGTGAGAGCAAAGTCATTTTGCATTCTTTTGAAACAATTGCTGTTAAAAGTTCAACAATGCCTCTGATAGGTGGAGGAAACGACTGTTGAGTTGACAGCATAGAGAAGAGATCTCTACTCTATGGTATACAGGTGGCAATGTCGGAAGTATTGATAAAATGAGTAGTGAATTACGGGTCACTAGAAAGATAACTACTCCATGTAAGAAGAGAATTTGAGCAAAACCGAGGGCGAGTGCGGCGACTTTATCTACCATCGGCAATCATGCACATAATTTTGTTTGTGGGGTCACAGCGCCAACATTAAATAAAATTTCGAGTGTGGTTAATGATTCGGGCTTGCCCAGTTTTACAGTTCTTGCATATTTCGTTGAAATCTTTCATTGCCACTTTACGAGGGCATATCGAAAATGCAAGGGCTCTGTAAGCAAATTATTTGCATGTTGAGGCTTTTTTGGACGTTTTTAAGAAATTAAAGTGAAAATAGTATGACTGTTCGTCATGTCATGCGTGATAAAAAGGAGTGAAATTAGAGTGAATGAACTTTAGCTGCAACTTACTTTTGTGGATTTCATAAGTTCACAAGTTCAATCAGTTATTGACGTATTAAATACATTATTTGTGCTGTATGAAGATTTTATTTTAATTTGATGCGAGGTTTGTTGATTCAAAATATACATTTGATGAGTCCTTTGTGTACAGTTGGCCGTTCTGGAAAGAAGTCCCTTACTGTCTCTCACGGAGTGTGATATATACTATCTGGAGTGTGCACCTTCCCGACAGAGTGACTGCGTGTGTGTGTGCGTAGTCAGTTTTTTTAAATAAAATAATTTTATTTGTGTAAATCGTATCCAAACAATAGTGTTTATATATAAAGTGCTGAAGTGCGATCACCATATTTTCGAAACCAAGTTCTTTTTTGTTCGGTATGAGTAGTATTGCCGTCAATTGTCTCAATGCGTAACTAATACAAAGACTCCAGCGCTCACTGGAAGTCAAAGCCAGAACTATGTGCGCAGGGGGTCAATTTAGGTGAATCGTACGCTACGTTAGCGTCAAATTATGTAATTAATATTTGAATATTTACTTTTATTCAACTTAGTTTTAATACTTAATGAAGTGCTTACCTTTTATTATATATTAGTGTTCTGAAGTTTGGAAATTACATTTCGCCATTCGATGGAGCTGCGATTTCCAGTTCGTTAGGACACCATCCGCCATTTATCTATTCTACACTTCAACCAGCTCGATGTGCCGGCATCCGTAACCGAATTGCTTAACTGCGGCTTATGAAGTCACGAAAGTTAAGCAATTCAAGACCCCGCAGGTTTCTGGTTGGGTGCCTGTCTGGGAACCTCAGGAGCTAACGGGGCCGAGCCCCTGGCCGAAGGGATAAAAGGCAATGACTGACCACGACTGAGGAGCTGTCCATAACTTATGTAACACATTTGGAGTATATTGAATACCCCTTCCCCCTGTAACACACCCTAACGCGCGCTTGAACCACCCTAAATAAATAATTACGTAAAGCTTGCGACAACACTCCCCCCCCCTTGTAAATGAATGAAATGTTTGATCACAGAAATATACACGCCATCGTGGTAACGCATGAGAGAGAGATTCTACTGCGCCAATTTAAATGGATTCTAGAATATATTTGTACTAGTTATGTTTATACTACATATCTGTTTTGAATATTTTCATCATAATCTTACAAATTCAATAAAAGAGTATGAAAAACTATTTCCATTTATTGTAACAATTATCATATAATAAATTTAATTTATGTTTTTAAAACATATTAATTAGTAAATATTTTAAGGATGTAGTACCAGGCTAGAAAAAAAAATTATTTGAGTAAATGTTGAAAAACGTTAAAAAAATAAATAAATACGAGTATCAATGAAACGTAACATTAAACTAATATCCCCTACGTATATGTAACGCAGCGTAACGCTGCCCCAACCCCCCTCTTTTCCGTTACGTAACTTACGGACGATCCCTGACGACTCAACCGAGAATTATTCCGCGTTCGACGCCAGTAAATGGTTGAGAGAAACTTTATGAAAAAGCGTAACAGGATTTTTAACACTCACGTGCGCACACGCGCATACACAGGCACACACGCGCATGCGCACACGCGCACTCGCGCTTACTCACACACACAGTCTTTTTTTAAACTTTATTTTACAGCATTTTCCGTTACAAGTAACACTACATGCTTTCAAGTGCAAACACATTCTGAGACAATTCCGGTGATGAGGGTATTTATGAAAAGCGTCGGCAGCTCGATCTCAGATTTATCTCAGCAATCGGTCTCACATTTATCGCCGTCAAAGGGAGAACTAGAGGTCTGTCACTTCTTAGGTTCAGGAAAATTCCGTATTGCAGCGAAGTGTTGGAGGAGCAGAGGATTTATGGTGGGTCCGCCATCCTGCCCATCATTGTGAACTTCACGATGTGAAGCGCTCTGTAGCGACTTTTGCTAATGAATAAAAAAAAATAGAAAGTCTGCCCTCCAAAAGTGCTGCCATCTGACGATAGTTCTGAGCGAATACTCGAAACTGACCCCCAACCAGCACCAGAGAGTAGTGATTTATAGTTGTATCTCTCCTCAATGCCCCCCAACGGCTCCGGGGAGAACACTCTGAGGAGAACCATTACAGCCAATATCTACCAAGCTCATATTCAAATCAACGCCATGTACATGTGCTTTATACACTAAAGTGTAATGCCGTTGGGCAAGTACATGTAATACGAGCGACGTTATTGGGCGAAAAAGCTAAGAAAAGTTCCCTCTAACCACCGCGAGGATTGGACCGAGGAAAATACTCTCTGGATTGGACATTCATTATAAACTTCATGATTCACACATTTTTTTTTAATGATTTTTCTGAAATATTGTCATTGATTTTTGGAAATACATTCACCAAGTGGCTATAATAACAAAATAAACGCTTCCTAAGTAATGATTTTAATTTGAGTTGTTATCAATCAACAATTTAGAGATATCGATACTCGTTATCAATGCATTGTGATCATTGCGAGTTCCCTTCATTCAATATAGAACGTACATAGTATATGGTAATATCCAATAGAATTACTTCTGACGTATTTACCAACTAGTACACGGTTACCCAATGCGTCACTCTAATACCAAAATCAAAATCGTAACGAAATGCTCGATTTGATAACTGCGCCCAGCCGTTTGTGTGTCAAAAAATGCTTTATTTAAATTAAAGTACAAGCCATGTATATACAGGGATTTATGCAACTCTGCCCGTGGCAAGTACCAGCTGTCGGTTTCATCCAATCGGGAGCTTAAACTTATGGTGAAGGTTAAGCTCCCGATTGGATAAAACTCTCAACACCAGTACTTGCCAGGGGCAGAGTTGCTAAAATCACAGTATAATCCAATTTAGTCACGTTGAATGCTCTAATATACTCTCTGGCTCTGAGCTTCGAGTGAGACCATCTATGAACATCTACATCAATCTCCAAAACGCTCTTGACCACTGCTCTTCTCTTAATTATTCTCTGGCTCTCTCTGTTTTGCTTTGTAGACTGACTAATTAAATCGGAAGAGTTGGAAAAGTCAGGGAAAACTATAGATGGTTGGGAAGAGGGTGGAAATCAAGGAAGAGTTAGGAAAGGGAGAAAGAAAAACAATGGAAAGCAGCCTTGCGTCAAGAGCGGAGATAACGAAGGAGTGAAAAGGAGAAGTGGATTGCGCGATGATGTGATGTATTTTCATGGTTAGGTGCGGTATTCTGGCTTCAGATTTGCAATTGCACTTTTGAATGATGTGTGATAATTGTTAAACTACATGTTGTAAAGATCTTGCAAATGTAGTACGTTGCGTTATCGTTGAAGTGACCTGCAGAAAGAGTTAATTATCGAAGATAGTAGCTTATTAGGCCGTGCAAGATGTATTGACTTTTATTGTGCCTAACGCTTCGTAGAAAAATGTCAAGATTTCATTTAAAAGGCAAGAGAAAATGAAATAATGAGAACCCAATTCGCGTAACTCCACAGTTTTGTACATCGGAAGCAAATTTTATTGGTGCTCGTTTGTGTGTTGTACTTTTATAGTAAAGCGGCCAGTTTTCTGTAAATCTTTAAGATATTTAAACTTTTATGATAAATTTCATTGAGGTTAATTTTTGCCTTCTTTTATACACAATTCATTTTCTAATTATTATACAAGATGCAGGATGTATCAATCAATATTGATTATTTAGTATCAAAGTGTTGACACAGTGTCCATCATTATAGGTGCACTTTGGATTAAAACGAAAAGTGAGTCTGGTTAGAATTGACAATGTCTGTTTTCAAAAAACCCAAAAAGAATTTTAGACGAAGAGCGGCTGAGTTTAATGATGATGAAGATGAAGGAAGTGGTGAAATTGAAAAGGTTGAAATTGATGAAGAGGAGACTCCGGTTCAGATTCAACCCACTGTTCCTAAAGTGAAAGAAAAAAATAAGGACAAACGAAAAAGTGTTTTGAGTTTTGAAGAAGACCTCAATGAAGGTATCTCTTGTATTTTGAGACGTAACATTTTCATCCACAACTGCTTTGCATATGTCAGGATTTTTCAATTGTTTCTTGAAACAAGTCATGGAACATGAAATCTTTAATCACTTATATACATAATAAAATGTTAACTAGAAAGAAAGGTTTAAGATAATGACTTTATGAAAATCTTTTATGCTTTGTGTAAATATGTCTTTCCGTGGAAAATATTCCATATTGATATTACTTTATTATTTCAGCATTCACTGTAATTTAAACAATATTCTGATGAAATCATTTGTTGTTTTTATGCTGCAAAGATTACAGTTCTAGTATTTTAATGAATATCATGGATCATTTTCACAAGTTGTGCAAATAAAGAAACTATCTATTTACTACTTTTTTGTTTATTACTTTTTTCGGGATGGATAAGTTTGATAATACTTTATTTTTTGACTATTATTTATGTGATACACATATTCACATATAGTTTAGTTTGTGTGGGTGACTAATATCCACTCAACCACTTATACACAAGAAATTTTGTAATAACTTGGTCTTAGTGAACTATCATGAGCATTGCAACTATTTTGCTATGTATATTTGTTATATTTCAAATTGCAAATGATCCCAATGTCAGTTTTTCATAGATAATGCTAGTAATTTACTACTTAGATTTACTCAAGGTAATATAGTTACAAACATTCAAATAAAAAAAATAATATTAATTGAATTTGTGGTACAATATTATACCAATGAATCATTATAACAATGAATTTATTTGTTGAGTTTGTTTAAAGGTGATTGAGATTTAAAAATCTTCACGGTGCAGTTCCTATGTGAACTGATTAAAATATTAGTGTGTTTATTAACATGGTATTTTTATGTCAATACAGCAGATGATGGAGAAGTTTTCCAAGTTAAAAAGTCATCGCACAGCAAAAAGATTATGAAACTTTTAGACAGGGAAAGAAAGAAAAAAAAAGAAGGAAAAAAGGAAGATAAAGCTGAAAGTCTTGAGTTTTCAGACAGAAAGAAAGATGACCCATCTGATCTTGTTGTGAGCACTTTGTTAACTTCATTCAGTTGCCATTTTATTTTTAATAATATTTATTTTAATTGAATTAATTTTATTTTACTACAGATTGTACTTAAAAATACTGAAATGCCCCGAATTCTTAATGGGAGAGAAGCGGAAGCCGCTGAACCAGAGGGCATGAGTTCTGAAGATGAAGAGAAACAACCCAAGTTTTCACAATCTGATCATGTAAAATTACTTCTAGAAAGTATGTACCTTTAAAATTATTTTGTCTGTTGAAGCGTTGAGGAATCAATTATTGTCACTACAGAATGGTAAAAGAATATTTCTGATGATGGTGGTTGATATATAAAGGAATTATAATGGATTTTCTATCAGTGTACATTGTCTCGTGAAAAAAGATGTTTATTTATTTTAACTTTGAACTGTAAGAAAAGGATAAATAATAAACATTTGTATAGATGTATAATTTAGAAAGAATTTGTTCGTAATATAGGTGAAATTTATAAGCTTCTTGGTTTTGAATGATTTTTGTACATCATGAGTATTTGCTAGAGTAAATTTTATTTTCGTCATCATCATCAACAGAAACTGTAGGTTGCTAGGTCTATCTCCTGTACCTGTGTCAAGTAGACAAGGAGGTTTACACTCGGGTGATCAGATTTTTTATGACATAAAACAGGTAATTTGAAATATGAAAGAAAAAAAAAAAAGGAACAAAACAGGACCTTACAAGGAAAATGTGTTACGTAAGTGACTGCACTGCTTCACTAGACAAGTACAAATTAATTTTAATATCCAACTTGTGTATTATTTATAAAAAGTAATTTGTACTTTTTATCCAACTTATGAATAACCTGCTGAACATAAACTTGTGGCTTGTTATTCAGGAACATCACTATGAATTTTGTACTTATAAGAAGATTTGGTACCTTGCAAGAGTGTGCAATTACTTAATAAGAGGTTGTAGAATTCCTTACACCTCAGGTCCTGAAAAATAATTTTTAAAATTACAATTGCTTAAGTAGTTTTGGTAGTAAAATGTTGTTTTTTCATTAATCCAAAGGGAGTTCACAATTGAAAACACTCTTTATTTTTCACTGAAATGTTATAGTTTGTTATTGTGTTTGATATGGAGTTCAACATACACTGCATGCCTTACCTGAATGGAGAGGACCTTGGTTACGAGGGAAATATGAAACCAGTTGAATGATGCTACATGTTTGTTTAAGGAGGGAATTATTGTAAAGTTAAAAGCCTGAGTGAGCATTGAGTGTTCTTTACTCTTTGCTGTGCTAACTCAGAGATTTGCTGTTTTTTGAGCAAATTTCTGGGTGGTATCGTTCACATTTTCTTCCACACAGTTCACTGATACACACTTCTGTAGGGCTATGGAAGTTCTTTGTCTTGCACTCTATGCTGAAAACCATGAATCGCGTATTGAGGCGCTACATGTCTTTCTTCCTAATTGCCATTTCCCCAGTTCCAATTTAACATTGCACCCATAGAGAAGAAGTCATTGTGTATTTGCTGTTGTTTATCTTTTCTGTTGTGAAGTAGCTTGCTGACTGCATTTGGAACTGGTAGCAGTAGTTTTAGTTGAAAATCTTCATTATAGAAGGTCCTTTGCGAGTATATATGTTTCTCTGGAAAGCACTGCTTTTCCAATGCCAAGTGTGGCTTTTAGATATCATGCTTTGACTTTTTTGATTCTTTTAATGTCACTGACTTTTAGTTTGACCAAAATCAAACTTATTCCATATGTGACAATACGCAAAATTGTGGTTTCAAATAGGGTTTTTGCAGTAGTTAGCGAGTTTTGTGATGTTCTTAATGCTGATTATTGCTTTTGTGGTGAGTGTTTTATCTTGAATGAGGTCAATGAAAGATTTAGCTATAGTTTGTAGTGTCATGCCAAGGTATTTAAATTTAGGTCCTAGCTGCAGGGTGTCATTTTTCAGAGTTAGATCATCATTTGGCTCGAGTCTTCCTCTTCTAAAGGTCATTTGCACAATTTTTAATTGTTTGTGTCAAGGTGGTTTTCATCAGCTCAATGCTTGGCAATGGGAGAATTATAAAAGTGAATTATGGGAGGGAAATATGAAAAGACAAACAGAGTCAAGTTATCTAGTTAATTAATAAGTAAATCTGAATGAATAAAATTAAAAGTAAATTATATATGTACCACAGACGTTAACTGGTTCTAATGACATCTGGTATTTTGTAGCTGCTTGATCTTTAGAACCTTCATAATGCCCTTGGTGTGTAAATAACTATTTCACCACAGCATTTGTGTCTGGTACAGCCAGAGCAAAATTCACAACCTCCTCTATATTTTTACATGGATTGCCTGTACTTTTATATCTGTGGAAGACATCACTCCACTTTTTATCAATCTCTACTTTATCTTTTCCCCGTTCCTCAATTTTTGTGTCTAAAAGTTTGTTGAAATGTAAGATCTAGGGAAGTACCGAAAACCAGAGCATGTCTAGGGAGAGTGAGGTTACAGCCAAGAATGAAAAAACATAATTTCCAGGCCCGTTAATATTTTTTCGGCACATAATGAAAAATGGGACAATCCCCCCCCAAAAATGGAATGTCTGGACACCCTAGCTTACACATCCAGATGTTCCTGATCAAGCCATTTCTTTTGTGGCCTTCCCTTTGGTTCTTCTTGTGGCCTTTGTGGTGTTTCTGATGTCTTTACTCATATGCCCATCCTTTAATGTGACTCTTGCAAGATGTTGTATAAAGCTCATTTGTGTTCCCTATAGTATTCATTGCTAACTACTTTTCATTGTCCAGACTTTCGAACCATACAAGAGGATTCATTTAGGTATCATACTGGATTCTTAGTTTGGTCTCTTTAGTCACATGTCTTCCGAAGCGTCTTTTGATGAATCTATTCATCCTGTTCTATTTCTGAAGTTTGTTTTCCATGTTTTCCAATCTCTGTCCAATGAGGTTGCCCAAGTAATTAAATTTTGAAGCTTGTTCTATTACTTGCCCATTTATGACAATTTCAGTAAAGTGAAATTTATGCATATGGATCTGACAATTGCAATGATCTGCTTTGCAATTTCAGTGTATTACATTGAACATGCTACTGGTCGTGATTGTTAATCATATTTTACACTATTCTCTTCAAAAATTCTAATAGACGAAACACTTTCTAATGAGTATAGGTTGTTTTACATCCTTGTTTCAACATGGTTGTCAAGTATCGTATTATTGAAATGTTTGGACATGAGTTCACTATGATACTGTCTAGGAAAAATTTGTTTTACTTGTCTGAGATAATGTTCCAAGTATTTCACAATTGCAGGGGCAGAATATGGATGCGCTTAATACTGACAGTGCAGCGGGTTGCATAGAGCATCTGTTCAGGGGTGCTTGAATCCTCATAAACACATAAATAGTCAGTAACAACGCTCCGATATGTCTGATTTAATTCAAACCACTCTTTATACACTCCCAATACTAATAAGAACAAAGTATGAATTCAGCAAAATTGGTCAAGTAGTTTTTGCTTCTATGTGCAACAGACATTCCCTTGTACTTATATATAATTTTTGTCTTCAGGTGGACGCATTCCCGATGCTGCCATGATTCATGCTGCTCGAAAGAGACGTCAGCTAGCTCGAGAAATGGGTGGCGATTATATTCCTGTTGAAACAAAGTAAGTTCAGAAATTTCCATAAATGTCTGTTGTCTTGTTCATTTGTTCTCCCATTTCTTTTTTCTTCCTTCTAGGCTTCACTTTCATTTTGTTTTGCAAGCATTCATTGGTCAGATGTGTAACAAAGAGTGTGTCTTGTAACTGGGAGAAAAATGTTTCCTCTCTGTTTTGTTGTAAATTTATAATAAGTAGAGATGTAATGTTCTTCTGTGATATTTGAGAAATTAGATTGCAATTAAAATACAATGGATTCTAAAGAAATAAAAGATGTGAGAAAAATTAAATGTATTTTGATTAAACACACTATCTTTAATATTAAATTACAGAAAATAGCTAAAAATCAGACAAATGGAATCTTCCTCTGAATATTGGGTTCTATAACATTTCCTGAAGAATGTGTGTTTTTCAAGCAAGCCAAACTATGATGGTTAAAAAGTAGTTATATCTTTGAATACAATTTTTATTATTGTTCAGGATTGTCACAAATGCTTTTAAGAATGTTTGAAATTGTCACACCACTAATTAATCACTTTGCTTATTTTATTTTCTATTTGTCTCATCTTTCCTTCATCATTCTCTAATTTTTTCAAGTTACTTTTCTAATTTTCATTAGCTAAAAATATTTGTTACTTGATTATTTTTTTTTTAAATTTACATTGTTGGTAGAGGACTGATGATTACACTGTTATAGGACTGATAATGCCAAATCACGTTTGGTGAGAGATGATGACAATGATGTGAGTGATGATGAGAGAATAACAATGGAGGTTAACACTGCTGCAAGGGACAAAGAAAAACGTCGAGAAGCATTTCTTGCTGCTCAGGATGAAGGTAACTTTATTTCTTTTATGTAGGCAACAATTGTTTAAATCTTAAGTCAGTGGTCTGTCAGGAAAATATGCATATATCAACAGAACTTCTCCATAGCATGCAAATTGATGTAGAAAAATGGCACACCTCTTCACAATTCATTTGTTAGAGCTTAACGTTTTGGAAACATAATTTTAGCAATATTTCTCAACCAAAGAGACATTTGAGTATATTGATTTCTTTTTTGCAAATACTTTGGCTTTCTCATACATTTGGTGAGATGTTTTGGCTCAAACAATGAAATAGCAAACTGTTTAAGAAGTATTTTGTGCTCATTGGAGCTTAAATGGCTAGACACTTAATGAACAATAAGATTGTATTGAAAAATTGATATATAATATAATATTGAAGTACAAATTTAAATATTGAAGAACAAAAAAAAAATTCGATTTACATCAAACCCTACAATTTAAATAGAACTTCTTGAACGTTTTAAATAATGATAATCATCTGATTTTAAAAACATCCTATTTTATATTATTAAATCCTTATCTAATATTTACAGTAAACTACTGTATTTATATTTTTATTTTCTTGTATATATACAGAATAATATATTGGAGTATAGAGAAAATTATGAAATGCTGTGAAATCTGAAAAAATTTAAAAAAACGGATATTTTGACAGAAAAACTCATATTGTTAACCCTTCATACAGAAAACCTAAATAAATATTCTTCCAATCTGTAGTTGAATACTTGCTCTAACATGTT